GCACAGAGAGGCGGCTCGGCCCTTTTTTTCCTCCCTACCTCCTGTACTAAGCTGGAGTTTCGGTTCTGTAAGTTTAACATTAAAGTGGTAAATATTCTTTGATATCTGCATTGCATTTATTTTGCGCGGATACATTTATGCCAGTGGATTATACCATCAAAACCATACTTAAAGTGTGTCAATATAATAGTTGCAAAGCAATTTCCATTTACTGTCTCTGTTTCTGAGAGAGCAAGAATCTAGAATAAGAGAAGACAGAAGTTTAAAAACTATGGTCAGTCACCATTGTGTTTTGAAGACCATTCCAAGGTTCTCCGCTATATCTTAACATGCTCTTAACCACTGAGCCACCTGTGATACAGTTGGATAAAAACAAAGAGGAAAAGTCGAAGGCTGGTCAAGGAAATGAAATTTTTACAGAAAAAGAAAATCCAAATCATCAGAACCACTTCAAAGTTATAAGAAAGGGGCTGGAGAAATGGCTCAGAGGTTAAGAGCACTGGCTGCTCTTCCAGAGGTCCTGAGTTCAATTACCAGCAACCACATGGTGATTCACAACCATCTATAATGCTTGCATGAAGGTATACATGCAGGTAGAACACTGTATACGTAATAAATGAAATATTTAAAAAATTAAAGATATAAGGGAGAGGCTCTGTATGTTGAAAGATTTGAAAAGCAAACAATGGTCTCCAATAAACTCAATTTTGTTAATTTTACATATGCAAAAAGAGACAAAAATAAGGGAATATTATGGAATTGGTAAGATGCACACATATCTATAAGAATGACAAATGGAATTTTTTTCATCTTGTAAAGAGTTAATAAGTAAACTTAAAACAACAAGAAATAAAAGGAAATGTGGAGATGGAAATAAATACAGGGATGCAGTAAATTTCAGTTTTCTTTAGAGTGGCAAAATATGATTTGTGGTTGATATGTAAAATATAGCACTCTTTGGAAATACAGAAAATATAAAAGTAAAAGTAAAGTATTCAAACGCTGTAAGTAGAGCCTGGTTCTAGGAGAAATTTTATGACATGAAAGCCAAATGAGATTCTTTTGTGAAATTAAAAGTTGTAAAGAGAGCAAGACATGTCAGTGAATGACTTTAATCTCTACATTCCAGGAACAGAGTCAAACTGAACTCTGAATTTGAGGCCAGTCAGATCTGTAGAGTAAAATCCAGTGAAATCCCTTCTGGAATATATATTAATTAGATTTTGGAAATAAGCACATGCCTTCTCACATACTTATTTTATTTCAAGATTATTCAATGTAAATTTGTTTTATATTATATCTTTAGAAAACAAACAAAAAATGTCTAACTGTATTCAAATGAAACCTAAATGATAAATATTTTTGATTTATACATGGTTGAATAAAAGTTGGAAACCAAAAAATACTCTGTGTGTGTGTGTGCATGTGTGTGTGTGTGTGTGTGTGTGTGTGTGTGTTTATTTTACAGAATTCTTCTTAGATAGGAGAAGAAAAACATGGTAGCACAACACATGGTCAAAATTATACTACAAGGATTTCAAGAAAAGCAGCATGGAACAGATGCAAAAATGCATGTTTGGATCAATGAAATTAATTACATGACAGAAAAGAACCCACAAAATACCAATAGCATTTAAGATTAACATAGCTGTCAAATATCCATTCTAGACAATATAGTACGAATTGTAATTGGTCTTAATAACAATAGCCTGAAGTTAGATATTGGAGTTAATGCAGATAGATCAGAAAGCCAGACTAGCCAACCACGAGCTCTTACCTCTACTAAATCCTCAGTTCAAATAGGTCATAATGAACCTAGAAATCCTGTGACTGAAAGCTTTCTCTGTGAAACCTCAAACTGAATACAATCAACTGTCTCCTCCCACCTTATATTCCTCACTCTGAACATCCATAGCAGTCCTATCTCCATCTCCCTCATGCAAGTTTTAAAGGAGAGTTACTCCCAAGTACTGGGGATAAAAGTGTGACCCTCCACATCCTAGTTATTTCTCTTTGAGACAGATCAATATAGTGTAGCCCAGGGAGGCCTTGAAAACACAGAGATAAATTTGCCTCTGTCTATTGAATACTGGAATTATAGGTATGTGCAGCCATTGCTTATCCTGTACAGCTAACTAGTGCCTTAGCTCTGCCCTGTGATCTTCAAGAAAGTATTATTTGTTGATCATAAACAAAATATTAGCAGAGGAAATCCAAATGGTCAACAAATACCTCTTGAAAAATTGAAACTCCACATGTCGAAAAATACACAGATATCAATCTACCCTAAAAAGTACTCATTCCAAATTTAAAACACTTTTAATTTAACCTATTTAATGAATGGAGATAAATATGAAACTGTTTAGAAAGTTACAGGAAACCTTGAGGCATATACCTAGAACTTTCTAAAAATGATTTGAGTAAAAACAGAAGGTCCCAATTGACAAAAGTGATTAGGTGGAATTAAAGGATCCCACCATGAAAAATAAAAAATTAGGAAGGAAAATAAAAACTCTTACAACCTGTATATCACACAGGAGACTAATATTCAGAATGTACGAAACTCTCAATACATAGAAGTTAAAAAAATATTAAAAGGATTTTTTTCTTATATTCTTGGTTGTGAGCCAAGCCATTGCTCTACCCCTAAATGGGTATGCCACAATAGGAAAAATTAAAGAAAGCTAATAAATACTTTGTAAATATTCAACATTCACAGTTTTCTTAGAAATGCAATTTAAATCTCTGAGGCTATTCCACTTGACATCAGTCACCACAGTCACCATGATTTGAGAAAACAACGAATATTGCTTATAATGTGAACAATGAGGAAGACGTTGAGAGTGAATTCAGATAAAAAAAAACTGGACTCAAAACATAAACTTCAATGCAGAATCCACACAAGTTAAAACTGGAACTTCCATATGTACTGGATCCATATTTTGGGCATTTTCTGTAGTTCGGTAAAAAATGGGACAGGGAAGTATCTTTGTGACTTGATGAATTTAAATTTTCCATGATTGTAACCAGAACAGGGATAGGTGTGTAATATGGAAAAGCCAATCCTCAACTGTTTCAACCACTACAAGTTCTTATGAGCCTGTTGCATATTGTGTATTTCTTGGCCAACCTTAAAAACTAATGACTGACAGTGTTCCTCCTTAGCTACTCCACAAACTGTTTATACTATTTCTGCTGAGTTTCTAGGTGATATTTTTCTAACCTAAAACCATAATCCCTTTAACAAGTTGCCGACACTGAGAAAGGTCAAGAAAAGGGCTCAAGTTGTGTGATATTTGACAAAATCATCTTCTTTATTCCATGACCCACCTAGCTAAGAACAAAGCTGACTTCTGCCAGAACAGCTAATGCTTCAGCTGCCCACACAGGGCATGTATACCTAGCTTTCTCCCCTCCTCCTCCTCTGGCCAGAAAAAGGTTCACCAAGGGCAGCCTCGGTCAGGACCCCTCATCTGCAAATCCTGCCCATCTTGTATCTGCAGACACATGGAAAACTATCCTGTCAATATACATTGGGCATTATTCACAACACTCAACTGTCTTTAACGTTCAACTCCATGAGCTCTGTGAGAGTGTCTCAAGTTTTATAGAACCCAAGAAAATTACCAAATACAAACACACTGCACATTCAGAATACATCTATTATCAACTTACTTGGTAAAAAAACACACAACTGCTTTCATTACAGATTTTCATATCATCTATAGCAATTATTCAGTGATTTCTGTTTTGTGAGACTATCTACATATGTTTTAAAATGGAGCATCAAGCAAATTGATATGCATATCACAGGAAAGTTCCATGTGGCCCTCTGTGCGTTACATAATCCACATAGTATTCAAATTTCTATCAAACCCATACAAAAACTAGGCAATTATGAAAGACTGATATTGTTTCAGACATGAATGATCGCTCATTATATTTGTACTTTTGTACCTCTCACAACAGAAAAAAATAGGATCATAGAGTAAAACAAAATAGTATTATTAGAAGACCCATTAACATACAATATTTGCAAAGCATTTTGTTCTTTCTTTGTTTTTTTTTTGAGATGAAGTTTCTTCATGTACCAGGCTTAAAAGTCCCAGAACTCATTCGTAAACATGGCTGCTCAAGAACTCACAGAGATTCAATAGCCTCAGAACAAAAGTGCTGGGATTAATATGTGTTACACAAAACCATGTTACATGCTAATCAAAATTTCTAATAAAAAAAATGTGCAACTATGCTCATGAAGACTAGTGAAGCTATCTTTGTGATTACTTGTCCTACAGTTTCTTGGAATCTCAACTGCTACTTTTCTTTCTATAACACAGAGGAACATGAAGAAGACTATATGAAGTCTTCTAGGTCTATGATAACATAGCTTCTCTAATTTAAACCAGATCTGGGGAATTTTGCACATTATGGACAGCCTTTCTATGCCCAAACAGGCTGTCACTCTTGTTTGTCATCCATGCTTGGTGTCCTAACACTCTGTAAAACTGAAAAAGACAAACAAACAGTCAGCTCTGTATTATATACAAGATAACACATGGGTGTAACACCATGAATAGAGGTTGAATTGAAACATAGACAATATCTATCTTTATCCTCGATGACAGGAAGAATTTTGACAAAAATATACATGAGTGGATAGAAGCAAATTCCCTCTCAATAACAACTAACATGGTCAGGGTCATGGTTACAGCACCTGGAGCTTAAACAATCACAGAACTTTATTTCTAATATCTGGATGTTGCCTGAGTTACATCAACATTTTTGTCTCACTTTCATATTTTATTATTGAGAACAGAGACATTGACAGCCTACTCTTCATGCATCCTGCTAGGCTAATGTCCCAAAGAAAAGTCAGGGATGCAACGTATCCTGCTGTGTTAGGTCAGGTCACCAGTAAGGACCTGAAAAGTGCCTTTGTTCTACCTTCCTTATAAAGACTCTGGCCTTACTTCTCCCACCACAGACTTGGAAGCAACTCCAGAGGCTCCTCCAAGATGTTGGTGGTCCTGCTTACAGCAGCCTTGTTGGCCCTGAGCTCAGTTCAGAGAGCAAATGCAGGTATGAAGTTGGTAGACAGTGGTTCTGTGAAATTGGAGTTGGGCAATACACTGAAATACAGAGCTAGGAGAAATGTGAAAAGATAAATAAAAAACTGAAGAAAAGGATTAGCAAAACATATTGGAATCTTTATATTTTCATTTTGCACTGGATCTTAAATGTTGCTCATAGTAAAATTTAAGAAATTATTTTATAACAAAATAACATGAATGCATTTGTGAAAAGACATTTTTGGTGGGGCATGATGCATGGGATCATGATACAGTTGACAGAAAGAAACTCAGTTCTCAAGGAGTTATAAGAATCCAATACTAAATAATGATAATCTTGCTGTACAGAGGATTGTGAAATTTGAAAGAAGAAAAGGTATGTCACAGATGCTTTTGAGAGAATGAATAAAGCAATAAAGTTGAAACTGTATAGATTCAGGTAGAAATATCAGTGCATAAATTCTTAAATTAGTTTTGAGCATTGTGTGCATGCAGAATTGTCTGTGTATATGTGTACTTGTATGTGTGTAAGAGATAAGGAGGCAAGGAGGGAGACAAACACACAGACACACGGAGAGAGAGAGAGAGAGAGAGAGAGAGAGAGAGAGAGAGAGAGAGATTTTGACTGTTTTTTCACATTCCAGTCAGAGGACAGAATCTTGTCAGCAAGATTTGTATTTCTACAATATGATTCCAGGAACTGAATACATTTCATCATACAAGAACTTTTACCCACTGAGATATCTTCGTGGGACTCATTCCCTATTTTAATGACCCACATAAAATATTCATTGTTCTTCACAAAGTATTTACAGCAATGTTTATTTTCACTTCATGTATGAAATACCTACAGATATATATCATACAACAAAAGAAGGTCATGAAGAAAAACAAATAATATAAACTTCTCAGAATGAAATTCCCATATTAAAATGAAGTCTAACAGTAAGGGTTGTCAGAGATACTAAGAAACAAAATAGTGGTTGTTCCTGATCTAAGAAACCATTCTGTCAGCAGTATCATCAGAATGGTCCAAGAATAAAATACTTCTTAGTGGATGTGAAGATGTTATTGAAAGCCATTTGTATTTCCAACTAAAAAATCTTGTAAATAACTTTTCACTGCTCTTGTGCTTATGTTCTAGAGATCATCAGTGAAGACGCTTCTGCTCAGCTCTTAGGTAGGGACTGATTCATCCTATACTAACCAATTAAGCGTGATTTACTTTGCAATTATTCAGTTTTATAAAATCTCATAATTTTTTATTTTGTGAAGTTAGCATGTGACAGCTTACCCTGAGATATATAGGAAAGCTCCCCTTCATTTACTCTAGGACCTAGAAGATGGCAATACACTGGAAGAGTAGGAAGCCAGGTTTTCGACCAGGAACATTTTGTCTCTTCCACAGATGGAAGCAATGGCTTGCATATGATAAACAAACTGATTGTCCTCATTAAAAATCTTCCATGTCTCTATAGGTTGGTCAAAGAATTTTTCCCATTGATTCCTTTCATAATTATAGATTTCCATATTAGATAGATATGTAATTTCATAGATCTCAGAATCTCTCATCTTTTTAAAATTTATTTTTCTCACTCAGCTCTGCATCAACAAAAGCACTGCAGGAAAACTGAATGGAACATCTTTTAGTCTCTTTCCTATACTTCTTTTTGTTCTCCAATTTGTTATAGAACCAAAAACAACATGCTACATTTAATAATAGAGCATTGCTGTCACATTAGGCTACATTGCCTAATTCTAACTAATATTATTAAAACTATCCTTTCAGTTTTGTCACTTCTGTCTGAGAATTGTAAGAAAAATGAAATCACTTTTAATGATCAAATTTAAGAAGATATATTTGTCTCAAGAGCTGAGCCATAAGAAAGCTATTATGATAAATATTTAAAAATTACATTTCAAAAAGAACCAGACTCATAAATTTAGGAAGGGTATTCTGACAGAAAGAGAATATAAGCTTCTTCGACATGGATCTATGTCCCTGCAGAGGAAGAGCAAAACAGCCAGGGCAAAGGTCAACAGCATCAGAAAGATGAGGAAGGTGAAGAACCTGGAGATGATGAGGATGACGATGGGGAAGAAAAACCACCACAGAAACCACCACATCATCCTCGCCCTCCAAAACCTGGAAAACCACATGGCCCACCCCAGGAGGGAGATAAGGAGAAACCCCGCCCTCCTAAACCTGAAAAACCAGAAGGCCCACCCCAGGAGGGAGATGAGGCGAAACCTCGCCCTCCTAAACCTGAAAAACCAGAAAAACCAGAAAAACCAGAAGGCCCACCTGAGGAGGGCGATGGCGGTGATGACAATGGCAACGACAATGGTGACGATGGCAACTGAGGTGATGAATAGGCAAGTAACCTCTAGAAATTTTCTGCATAAATAAAAGGTTCATCAGCAGGACAAAAGTAAAAAGACACTTTATCATTCTAACAAAGTTGTGGGATTCTCTCTGTTTGCTGTGAATACCATGGGTTAATAGGAAGCTTCTTTGGGCCTATACATAGGGCAGAGTAGAGCTAGGCAGGAAAATTAAACTGAATGCTGGCAGAAAGAAGGCAGAGTCAGTGACAAGCCATGGAGTTGCCAGAGGAGAAAGGCACAAGCCCCAGCTAGAACATTGCTGGTAGGTCACGACCTGGTGGTGATGAGCAACTTTATGTAGATGGGTTAGTTTAGGATATATGAGGTATCTAGCATTGCACTTAAATGGTTGGCCAAGCAGTCATTTAAATAATATGGTTTCTGTGTGCTTATTTTGGGGCTGAACACTAGGGAACAAATGAATAGCCTCCTGCCAACAGCACAGTCCTAAAGTCTAGAGATCACCACCGACTTCCAAAAGGCAAAGATATTTTACACATCGAAAACATGAAAGTTCTCTATACCTTGATTTCTGTGACAAATGTTATTTAAAGTCAAATGTCTATCAAATGTCTGAACGCTTACATAGATAGATATCCACATAACTAACAGATATCTCAGAAAATGTTTGTATTGCTGACTAGATCTTTCTACTCCCTTACCTTATTTATTATCTGTTTATTTGTTGCAGGAGAATTAGACATCAGTTACCTTTAATGTCATTTCAAAGAAGCAATGATGTTTTAAGAGAAACTTCAACACTCCAATAAAATATTTAGCATGCAATTATACTTTGTTGTTTTCTTGGACTGAGCGTGTATGTGTGAAATCTGGGGACTGTTGCCAAACTTAAGGCAATTATAAACCTCTTCATTCAGTTTCATTAGAAAAGTTCCTACTTTCTCCATTTATGAATCAGTTCAGTATCATTTGGGAGACTTCTTTTTTATTCTTACCAGGAGTTCTGCCCACAACTTTGCTGTATTTCCCAGATATTTCTGATTTTAGCCGGAGAATTAACATAAGATATGACTTGTTATAGTAAAATAAATGAATAAATAAATAAAACTACATAAACATGCTCTTAGTATATTATGCATGTTGTTTGACCAGAGCCCAAAAGAATAGCTGCCCAAAAGAACCTGCAAAAGGAATCTTTGTTTCTTTTCTCACGTGTAACACTCCTTTAACAATTTACCTGTTAGGAAGTTGCTGTTTGTGTAGATGGTGTTCTTTTAATATTACGTGTCAACCAGCTCACATTCTTCCTCCACTTGAACAGTCCTACATATGCAATGATTTCTGGAGCCCAGATGTTTATTGTTTTCATCTCCCTAGAATTTTTATAAATATGTACCTGGCCCTAATTGGCATATGAAATTTAAAATATTTTATGTATACCTTAGAGCATTCTTTCCAACTTAATTATTCAGGGTTTGTAAATGCTCTTTCATTGATTTTTAAATTTTGTTGAATTTTAACTAGAAAGATAAATATAAAATCTTTGCATATTCAATGTATTGAGGAATTTTTAAACCAAGTAAATAATTGAGCCTTAATTTTTAGACTCTTAATTTGCTGTTTTTGGATGCTCTATTCAAGTTTTTTTTTTCATTTTACTTAGATCATGTTCTTCTTTTCCTCCTTTCATATGATTCTTTATGAAAATTAGAGTGATCTTCATGAAAGTAGCACAGTGGGAGATTCATAGAAATGACAATTTGGTGTCATTCTGAAATTTAACACTTAAACTTCTGTTAGCATAATTCTTTGGATGGCCATGAATCCAGTATGGAAAGAGCAGTATAGACAAAATGCCAGGATAGGATAAGATTGATACACATATTTATAGACACAGGCTAACCACATTCATGTACAATATTGACAAAGCTGCATGTCATATTGAAACTATGAATTTTCATGACTTCAGTATTCTAAATGATTCGTCAAACATCCTTCTTTTCCAGAAGAGTCCTCTGGTTACTCATTAGCAGGCTTTTTATGCCTAAGCCAACATTATCACCAATCCTAATAGTTATAATATCTTCTTTTATAAGAAAAGAAGATAATCTCTTTGCAGATATTCCAAGAAACTCTGTAATCTATGAAACTAAGCTGAAAGCCATAGTTTTGACTTGGATGCATGACGGCGGTAAAAAAAATCATAAAATCTCCATTAATATATGACAACTGGTGAATAAATATATCATAATTTTTTTTTTTTTTTTTTTTGGTTTTTCGAGACAGGGTTTCTCTGTGGTTTTGGAGCCTGTCCTGGAACTAGCTCTTGTAGACCAGGCTGGTCTCGATAATTTATTCAAGAGGCAAAATATTTTATTAGGCTAATAATTGTCAGGCAAATTTGTACAATTAAATTATTCTGAGGAACAAAGGTAAAAAGTCTCAATGCATGGAAATAAATACATTTCTTATATACTTTGTCTTTAGTATCTTAGCATGTCTACCTTCATTTCTATATCAATATTCCTATTTATATCTGTTCATCTATGAAGCCTCCAGGAATATTGCTTGAAGACAGTTGCTCCATAATTTAACTAATACTTCATCCTTGACAACATGTAGCCTAAAAATATGGCTTCAAAGCTGTCATACAACTCTGTAGTAGAGTACTTGTTGACGTGATCGAGCCCTAGACATACTTCAGCACATAAATAAATACTGCATTTTACCTGCCATAAGTTACTTAAACTTCAAAGAAACTATGTATGTTTTCAGATTACAGTCCAATATGACTTTGTGTTTTTGTAATAGCTCAAGTCAGCATCCACTGTTCTCTGATGTCCATTTAAGAGTAAAAATCAGTCAGCATGTTCTTGTCAGTTTCTTGATATGTGATCACGTTCATGCCAGAAAGCAACTTTAGGGGTGCATATTGCATCATGTGTCCTTTTCATGATGTACAGTATGATCCAATAAGGTCAGCATTCATTAGGTATAATATTTAACAAGAATTATTTATTTTGTTTTGTGTAAATGGGTTTTTCTTGGATGAAAGACTGTGTACCACATGCATTTAGTGCCCATGGAGGAGAGGAGAATATCTGGAACTAGAAATATAAATAATTGTTTGTTGCTATATCGATGCTGAGACCCAAAACCAGGGCCTCTGAAAGAGAAACAAGTAGTGTTAACTGCTGATCCATCTCTGCAGCCCCAATGAAATATTAACTTTGCATATCAGCTCTTTTAAATAGAAGATTTTATGGTCACACAAATACATGTAGGCATTGTCTCATAATTAGGTCATATTTCTCAGTTTCTAAGACCCCATGATTCATTGTTGTCTTCAAATAGCTTCAAGGTGTTGATGAAAGACATGCTTTCCCTATCTACCGACGGAACTACATTTTTTTAATTTTTAGGAAAATAAATTATGCACATAGGTTTTTAAGGCGATGTTCCTGAAGAAAATATCGTCTGCCATCTCAAAACTTCATATAGAGAAGCTGAAGTATTCCCTGGCATGTAAGAATAGTAACTGAATCTAATAATGATTTCCTAAAGCTGTGTTTGTATAATACACTTTGTATTTTCATAAATACACATTTGCATGCCAAATCTGTCAAAGAGTTATTAGGAAAATATGTAGATCAACTGCTTAAACATGAAGTTCGTTTCAAATAACCAATTATTTTATTCCTTTTTCTTAAAGGATTAGTTTTGATTAATACATAATTTCTTTTTGATTAAAAGAATGATTAATGATGTTTACCATTAATTATCAAACAAAATCCATGAAGAAATATTAAAGAACAAAGGAGAACCTAGAAATGAGACACTAAATCACCACTTATACCCTCCATCATTTGTTCCTGACTTAGAAAGCTGCCTCTCCCTTGTTCATGTCCATTCTCAATGAAAACCCTGCCTCTTGGACAAAAACGCTCCTCTCTATTGGCTACTGGACCACTGTCAGGCTTCCTGTAATACCGCCTTTCATTTTAGTTAAGAAGAAAGGTTCTAACTCTAACACAATAAAATTATATACATGGACTATTATTATCAAGAATTGTACAAAAAGAAAGCAAATTTATCAACTTAAACAAAACTGAAACTACATACAATAACAATTATCAAGTAAGATACCCTTATATTTAGATTGGTGCTGTAAAGAGCAAATAATTCTCATGACAACAAAAGCCTATGTTATTAAACCAGTTCAAATGCATGTTCTCCAGTTATTTGAAGAGTTTGAATGGCCTACCTTTCTGAAGTATATGTCTGTATACCTGTAAAACCTAACTAATATGATTTTTTGATTATCCTAAATAACATTTAATGACTGCAACTTCACATTGCATAAATTAGCAAGCTGTATAAGTTGTATAGGTAATATGAAAAAATAGAAGCAAATAAACAGTTTAAGGACAATAACTTCAAATTTGTAACAGTATAAAAAACATTAAAATGAAGTATAAACATATATAAGGTATAACAATAATGACATTGAATTTGTATCAATATATAAAAATACCTTAAACTTAAATAGAAACATATACAGTATTAAAAAGTATCCTTAAATTTCGATCACTATACAAAATGTATACTAATGTAAGTAGCTTAGAAAATGGTAATTTTTACTGCATGAATTAAAAAAAAAGGCTTATTTGGAAAACTTTAGTGAGTTGATTCTGAAAGGAAAATTAAGACTTTGTCAATCAGAGGGATTTTGGTACCTTTTACTAATGATAAAATTTCCTCATTATGGAAAGAAAATGAACATTGAGAAAGAGATGGCAGTAATTTTTTGGGAAAGATTTACAGCAAACATCCTGTAATCAAGAGACTTCAGTTTGAAAAAAGAACTGAATGGATCCTCACTCACACTCTACAGGAGAATGAAGGCATCCAACTAAGGAATCTGAAGACAACTTAGCAAACAAGGTATCTGAAGATAAAGAATGAAGTATCAAAAAAAAGTGCCAAGAAAATGAGTAAACTGGCTTATTTTTTTTCCATTTTTTATTGAGAAAAGGAGAAAAAAAAACAAGTTTCCACCTCCTCCCAGCCTCCCATTTCCCTCCCCCTCCTCCCACCCTTCTCCCCCTGCTCCCACTCTTCTCCCCCTCCCCCCACTCCTCTCCCCATCCCTCTCCATTCCAAAGAGCAGTCAGGGTTCCCTGCCCTGTGGTAAGTCCTAGGTCCTCCCCTCTCCATCTAATTCTAGGATGGTGAACATCCAAACTGGCTAGGCTCCCACAAAGCCAGCACATTACGTAGGTTCAAAACCCCGTGCCATTGTCCTTGGCTTCTCATCAGCCCTCATTGTTCGCCATGCTCAGAGAGTCCAGTTTTATCCCATGCTTTTTCAGGCACAGTCCAGCTGGCCTTGGTAAGCTCCCAATAGATCAGCTCCACTGTCTCAGTGGGTGGGTGCACCCCTCGTGGTCCCGACTTCTTTGATCATGTTCTCCCTCCTTTTGCTCCTCATTGGGACCTTGGGAGCTCAGTCCAGTGCTCCAGTGTGGGTCTCTGTCTCTATCTCCATCCATCACCAGATGAAGGTTCTATGGTGATATGCAAGATATTCGTCAGTATTGCTATAGGACAGGGTCATTTCAGGTTCTCTATCCTCAGCTGCCCAAGGAACTAACTGGGGACCTTGGCTTGGGCATCTGGGAGCCACTCTAGGTTCAAGTCTCTTGCCAACTCTAAGGTGGCTCCCTTAACTAAGAATTGTGGTTCCGTGCTCCCCTATCCAACCTTCCTTTATCCCAATCCTCCTTTTCACCCAAGTTCCCCCCATTCTCCCCTTCTCCCTTT